TTGGAACTCTTCAAAGGTTTGTTTGGGGATCGTTCCAGTCAGACTATACGGTCCCAAAGGATGTTTGGAAACATATGCACTTCTAGATAGTGGTTCGGACGCTTCTCTTGTATGTGAAGAATTAATTAATCAGTTGGGTATTAAAGGTAAAGAGACTTCGATAAGGGTGGCGACTGTCAACGGAACTACCAATTGTGAATGCTTGGAGGTAAATTTAGAGGTGTTTTCATTAGATGAACAAGGTTCTGTAAGGATCAACAAAGTTTACACGACCAAGAAACTTCCGATCGATCATGCAGCACCTTTAACCGAACTCCAACTGAAACGGTGGAAACATCTAAAGGACATAACCCTTCCAAAGTTGCAAAGTAATTTTGTAGGAATATTGATTGGGTGTGATGCTCCGGATGCACATTGGGTCCTGGAACAACGTTTGGGGGACAGGAAGTATCCGTTTGCTGTGCGTACTCATCTTGGTTGGATGATTATAGGTCCTAAGGGAGTATCAAGGTCTCTACATCAAGTTCAGTTGTGTCATTGTTCCACCAATGATATTTTGCGAGATTTAGGAAGATTATATGATCATGAGTTCGAGGATACAGATACGTTTCGTAATGGATATTCTGTTGAAGATAAAAAAGCTCTAGAAATAGTTAGCAGTTCGTTTAGGTTGGAGGGTGGTCATTTCCAAGTTGGTCTACCATGGAAGTATGATAAGCCAAGACTACCGAAAAATTTGGAACTGGCTGAACGCAGACTAGAATGCTTAAGGAAGAGGTTTATGAAAGATAACAGTCCTTTGGAGAAATATCAAGTTGTGATGAATAAACATTTAAGAAAGGGCTACATCATTGAAGCTAGTGAAGAGGGATTTGACTATGATGCTGTTTGTTGGTATATTCCTCATCATCCTGTCATCAACCCTAAAAGGCCTGGAAAATTGAGAATTGTTTTTGATTGTGCGGCTGTCTATCAAGGTTGTTCTCTTAATGACCAGCTTTTGAGAGGACCGAATACTGTAAATAGTTTAATTGGTGTACTCCTACGATTCAGATTAGGTAACGTAGCATTAGCTGCTGATATCGAAGAGATGTTTCTTCAAGTAAAGATTCCGAGACAAGACAGGGGAGCATTTCGTCTATTGTGGTGGGAAGACGGTGATATACGACGAACGGCTAAGGCAAGAGCAGCCCCCTCGAAGGTCCAAACTATACCGCGCTTGGAACTTACGGCAGCAGTTTTGACAGCTCGCATGGGATCCCAGCTGCAGTCAGAATTAGATATTAAGTTTGCAGAGGTTAATTTTTGGACGGATTCTATGATTGTCTTACACTATATTAGAAATGAGAAAAGCCAGTTTAAAACATTCATAGCAAATCGAATTTCGACTATTCAGAGTCATACTAAGGTGGACCAATCGAGATTCGTACCTTCTAAAGAAAATATATCAGACTTTGCATCCAGAGGGGTCAAGTTTGACATTGATGATGTCAAGGTATGGAAGGAGGGTCCACGTTTTCTCAAGAAGCCGAAGGAGTGTTGGCCTGCCGCTGATGTACAAGGTCCTGACCCTCATCTATTGGAAATAAAGAAAGCAATGTCGGCGCATGTAATGGCTGAAAAATCCACTGTTGATCAACTTATTAATTATTATTCAGATTGGACTAGATTACTTAAGGCTGCTGCGTGGTTAACCCGATTTAAGCGATATTTACTGGTAATGCGTTCTGGTAGAACTGATCTGTCTCAACAGGTGGGTATGCTTAGATTTGATGGGTTAAATTTCGCTTGTTTAGATTTAATTCTATATGTCCAACGCATAGTATTTCGGAAAGAGATTGAAATGTTATCGTCTGATACCACTAGCAAGGTGAAGATAACGAATTCACCGTTACGAACTTTAAATCCAATGATGATTGGAAGATGGGCTTTATGTTCTGCGGACTCAAATAGTTGTTTGTGTGTGAATATGCAATGGTGCCTGAAGCCATGTGTTATGGTTATTCATTTTCTAAAAGAACTAGAAGGGTCCAATGTTACGATTTGGAATCAGAATAGAGAGTTCGCAGTAAATAAAGGAATTAATGGATTGGTCCTCTATACGTGTTTATATATCCATATTTACGTTAGTGTATATGAGCTTCTATGGAGGATGAAGCATTTTGTTAGATGGTTGATATTGCGATTGTTTATGTTGGCGCAAATATTCTGGAAACGTTTGTCTAAGGAATATGTTTCATTGTTGCAACTTAGACACAAATGGACTCAACCAGAGATGAACATAGGAGAGAGTAACTTGGTGGCGACATGTACTGGGTTTTTAGAGAAAGACAAATGGTTATTAGGTCTGGTAATGAAAGTGACACCTAATAGTGATAGGTTAAGACCGATGGAGTTGCGGACAAGCGTAGAGATCTTGGTAAGAGATATTAGAAAACTGCGTCTAGAAGTTGTAGATATTAGGTAGCTACTCGGATCCCTAGGCGTACTGGTGTAAGTCCTAGGGATCACGAGATTGTTGGTATATTGAGTGTTTGTTGTTGATTGTTTGTGATGCATATACTTGGATTCTTGTTGTTTATTTATTTGTCTGAAAAGAACCAAGGTTCTTTTGGTCGGGAGTGTTACGGGAGAACTGAAGACATTTGGCGGATTAAAACCTTTTATTGTACATTAATAATTTACTGTGCTTTTGGATGTAATTGTTTTACTTAACTTCTGAACTTGTTTGTTTATATCATTACTTCGGACATTTTGGTTTGTCTTTGGTTTGGTATTTTGGTGCTCTCTTTGTCTTTGGTTTGGTATTTGGGAGTTTTGCTCCGGGAACCTACAAAATTGAAGGTTTGTTTTGTAATTGTTATAATTATTGTTATTAGAACGACATTTGGTCGATTACTTGTGAATTACGAATACATTTGGTATCTAAATTGGGACTTGGTTCTGTTGTTAATTTGGGTTCGTAATTTGCGAGTAGATCGATAGTCCGTACTTCAATAACTGGGACGAGCAAAACTTGGACGTAACAGTGCTGATTAATAATAATATATTTCTGCAATGATAAGTACACGCCATTTTTACAGGCATAATCTTGAAATTACAACATTTATTGTTTCACAGTATGCATGTTAAATAAATATAGTCTATCAAAGTGAATATTAATTCATTCATTTCTGAGTAATCTTCCCAATATTCTCCGAAGTGGCACAGCGTCCACGTTACGCACGAGATCTAATCTCTGCATTATTGTGTTAAGATTTTGGTTGTGCTAAGTATTTGTGCACTGCAACTTCTTAAGTTTTTAGCTGTTATAGAGTAGACTTGCAGAGTGCTTGGTGTGACCTTGGGAAAACACGTACGTCTAGTTTGTTCCAATTGTCAGGAGTTCCATAGCTGTGCCATCAGAGCATGATTCCGAAAGAAAGAAGAGAAACCGAGGGGCAGCAAGGCACTTGGATATGGACTATAAACAATACTTAACATTTTGTAGTGGAACAGACGGAGGTATGATAAATTATTAAGTTAAATCCACACTAGCTCTTGTAGGTAAAGTAAAATGTGATCAGAGGCTCCAGACGAGAGAATGCAGTGGTACAGAACAATGTGTTGTGATAATCACCAAGGTGGAGTAAGTTCAAATGAAGGGAGGGAAGTCAGGGTTGGAATAAGGAAGGCTCTTTATTAGAACAGAAAGTGTATATAGAGAGTAAAGTGTTAAGAAAACTAACAACTATGTCTTTTGTTGTCTGATTTTTTTTTCATCCGATGCCTGCCACACAGTATTAATGTAAAAGTCCGAGTTAGCATCTCATAGGTTGCCTTTGTACAATAGCTAAGTCAGCATAAAATTGGTAACATGAGTCTGAATTGTGAGTGTAGGAGAACAACCTCAATGTCACAGATTGGTTGGCTTGTTCTCAATCATACAGAGCCTGATACAAACAAAATGTTCTGCCACACAAACACAGGTGGGTTGAATTCATCTCCCTCACCATGAATGCTTGCTGGTTAGTAACTCCAACCTCCCTCCTTTTATGATGTTAGGCTCATTTAAGCTTATTTTTGGATAGATGTCATAACTCACAGAATCCTCTGTGTTTCACATCCTGTTGGAAAACATTATTTCGATAAGTACAATTTTACAAACTTATCAGGCAGTTATTGACTGTGGGTAAGGCATCGATGTAGTGTTTTAATTGACTATAGTATAAAGTATAGTTTGCCAATTGAAGTATAAGCATTAAGAAGAGTATGTAGCGGTAAATAAATCCCCAAAATAAATAGCCCTGTAAGTTTTCGACATTGGATGCTGACCATATGTTTTAGTGGACTCATCAAGCTGAAGGTGCTCGGTCATGCAGCCGCACCAGATCACGTGTGGCAACGCCGTGCTCAACTGCTACTGCAATCGCTAGCCAGATTAGATCAGAGGATTCCGATATATTGGTTATCGCCAAATACACTCTTCCGATCTCCTCGACCCTGTCTTTTGATTTCTTTGGGTGGGAACGAATCATATTCGAAGGTATTACTGGTTGTAGCGTTGTCAAACACTGAATACCTGTGTCATCCTTCAAGTATAATGTAGGATAGTTGTTTATTAAAGCAGGTGGATAAGTGTAGAAGTATATGAGTTGTAGAAAAGGTAACTAGTGGAGAAATAATAATAATTGCTGGCAAACATAGTGTACTGGAGAGTAAAGAGCTGATAAAGAACAAACAAGAAGGCACTCGCATTAACTTGGTGTAGGTATAATTTTTCGCTATCCCAATTGGCGTCAGGTTAAGCGAAACAGTATCACACAATCAACTCAACGTATAATATTATGCCTCCCCCCTTGCGACTTGAAACTCTGGACCGATCACAAAATCATTATTTCCTTCTCACAATATGTAATAATGTGCGCTCATGAATGCGTATGTAATAAAAAGTGTCTGTTGGCTCTAGTTTGAACAGCTCTACGATTTAACCTCGAGTGTGTTTAATTGATTAAAGTTTTCACGATTTCACAGTGTAATGAAAAAGCGCTGTTTTCGAAACTTCGGATGTTTGCGTTCGTCTGATAATGTAGGTATCAGTATTTTATTTCTTGATTTTTTACATATCGGCTGTAACCACTGACATACACATAGGAATTTTATGTTTACTTCAATTTGTCATCGGGATTTGACGCTTATGTTAAAAAGTAACGCTATCTTAACCAAATAGAACTGCTTTATTTTAACGATTTCGCATTAGAGTGAAGAGAACATATAAGTATTACACTAATACGCTGCTATGGCTGCGGTTACTTTTGAAAAATCCGGGTTTGCGATCATAGATTCTGAATGCATAAAATAAACTATCATATGATATATAAATATATATATAATAGGCTATCCTATCTTATGATAGGATAGTGTATTGAATCATATTTATTGGAACTTTTCTAGTTGAAACTAAAGTGTTCTTGTTAAACATTTCGTGCACAAAAACTCACTACCCTGATTAAACGTTAGTTTTCATTAGTTAATCTGAAGTTCATGATGTCACAGACATTAAAGGCTCGATAGCGTTGTTCTTCATGCCTTTGTAACTGAGGATCTCAATTGCGGCCGAACCAGAAGTCACTAAGGAAGCAGTTTAAGAGTATAGTTCGAAGATAGTCGAAGAATCGAGAAGTGTGTGATCAAAGTGGACTAGTTATTGTCAGGGACGGGAAGCAGGCCATACTCAGTGGTGATCTGGAGAGAATATGTGACCACGTCCCTTTAGCTAGGGTGTGTCCATTAAAACTAAAAAGGTCAGCATCAATCTTAGAGACTTACAGGATTATTTAGTTTGGGGATCTATTTACCTTTATGGTTATTTAGTGTTTGACATAAATGTTAATCTCTTAGTTTGAATTCCCACAGTATGTCCAACATTAAACACGGAACTCGAGTTCTATCTGGCTATGTTAACTGATTAAGTAACCATCAAGGACTGTCTCGGATTGCATTTTTAGACTTTTTTAGACTTAAGAAAATGGTGAAACAATAAACAACCAACTAGTTAACGGTTGTGGCTTGACATTTAGGAACTTCACAAATGGCTGAATAAAGTCAGCAGGACAAAATTATAGGAAATACAAAAGAAATATTAGGAATGAATTCAAAATAAACCCAAGCTTATTCCACATAAACAAAAACATGTAGAATCTCTATTTTTTCCTTATTGGAGTAAAATTCAGTCATCAAACATCATTGATAATAGTCTTTTAATAAATCATGAAACAGTTTCATGGGAGAGGAGATCTTACGCATATGTCACTTAACATCTCAAAAATATTTTAAAACCATAGAATTTATGAAGGGCTTATGAAACATGAAATCTCATGATAATAGATGCTTTATAAAGGGGAATGGTTTGTAATTAGCAACAATAACTAAGTCACTGTTGGTTGCGATTTCGGAATACTTTTCAAGGTTATCCCCTTTCTTCACGTAGCGCAAACTACTGTTAACATTCCGTTAGTTTTCGGACTGTTGTTCCTGTGATTATGTTTAGCGTTATACACGGGAAAAGTTGTCTTGGATATGCTTAGTGTACTCGTATGATAAACAACTGATTAAGTAAGCACGGTGAAAGTACTGTATTTTGTGGGAACAGAAACAACAAACAACCTACTTATCTTAATTAACCACTGTTTTTAAAATGATGTGCGAAAGCGTTTTGATCCTGATTATGTTGAACAGTAAGGTACAATGTCAGTAAAACTGAGTGCTGAAATTAATTATCATGTATGTCAAAAATTTGAGCAGATTTCGAAAGTTATGGGCGTTTGAGCCAGGAGCTAAATTATGTTATCTGACTCAATTTATTACGTGTGAATTTTCTAGGCATCTCAGCTTTACAAGAAATACTTTTGAAACTTTATGTTTTCACGTTTCTTTGACATTCTGAAGGGTCCTTAGTTTGCCTTTATTTTAGTAAACAAGAGTGAAAATAGGCGGGGCAGTGTACTACGGCTTTTTTAACTAACATTGAGATAGCACATTGTCAGAATAATTTTATATTTAAGTTGTAACTCATATATTTCATCCAAGGATCTAATCAGTAGTCTCAACAAATATGAAAGATACTGGAAAAATACCGGCTAAAATTTACACATGACCTAATGTCATCACATTGAAACACTCCTACAGTGGTGAGAAAGAGGAAATATATGATGCTTATACATAGTGGTGAGTGTATTACTGAGCAATTTACTTTGCAATACTGTGTGCTTGTCTTGAGATCTGATATTATTTTGTCCTTTATTCATAGATATCATTTCATTTTTTATTCATATTTGCCGGTTTAATCTTTCTTACTGTTACTAAAGCTACTATTCTTCTGACTCTTGCCACTTATCTTCTTGACTTCTGCCAAGTCAATGTGGCTTGAGAACCTGACGTGATGGGATTTGTGTCAGGTTCCATACTGATTGTGACTGGCTAACACATGCGTCGGGTTTATAAAATATACTTAGGCTTTCTATGTGCAAAACAGGGGTTTGTTTGTGAAATATGGGTCAAAACAAATAGAGGTGATCATAAGCATTAACAAGTTGTTTGATTCAAACTCCTAAGTACCTGTTTATGGAATAAACAGGCAATTATTCTGGGACTCAAAAATCATATGAGACATTCATCATATTCGTAAGGTTTTCCAAACAAGATCAATCGGTTTCTACATCTTAAGTCGTTTTAAAGATTCCTTTGCGTGATAAAAGCGTGTGAAATTTCCGAAACTTGGAAATCTTTACAAAAGCTGTTGAAACGTTTGTCAAATAAAAGTAGACAATTTGTACTTGTTTTTATGATAGCTAACAACAATACCCGAGATATTCCCACTCCAGAGAATTAGGTAATATATCTAACCAGTTAAACAAGTTGTTATTAATTTAAGTTGAATTCACCTTGCTAGCGTTACTGTCTTTACATGGAGATGGTCTCATAGTACAGTGATAGTACAAACCATTCCAAATTGAGTGAAATTCATGTACATAATATGACATAGTAAGTATTATTTTCTCTTCTGACATTTGTCAGCTATATTTAGGTTATAAAAGACGTATAAAGTGTACCAACACTTAGCTTTATAACAAGAACATACTATAGTGACTAAAGCTTACTTTGATTTCCCCATCAATATAAGTCGATTTTCCTGAAATCTAGTAATTCAAGTTGAGCTACATCTATTGTAAAATTCAAATAGGTGTTTATAAAGTCTACATATTTAGAAATATATTTTCAAAGCCGAGTTGTCGCCTTTAATTTTACGTATAAGTTGTTTACAGTTTTATTAAAAGCTATGAGACTAATCGTTATAATTTTGTTAACTGTTATGAGTAAAACTTACGAAATAAGTCAGACGTTTGAATAAAATACGTCCAATCATGAAATATCATGGTCACACATGGAATACAAAACTTGGATAAGTGTTTCATATGCAATCGATGGTGAAGGGTACATTGTATGAAGCCGAGTATTCGTAAAGTACATAAGTATGTTGAATAAGATTTAATGTAATCAGTTACTTTGGCTAGCTCACAATGTGCAAGCGTTTTACCTTGAGAGTAAAAAAAACCTGGTAACTGTCGAGCCACTTTTATCGACTTTTCACTAATAGATTCAATAATCTAATGGTTTTGTATTGCTTCTAACCATAAATTCATTTTTCGTCTCCACTCTAAGAAGAAAAGTCGTTAAGGTAATTTTTGTTATAGTATCACATTATGTCCATCTGGCAAAGAATTAACATTTTAGCGATAAATCTTAGATTAAAATATAAGCCATATACTTTTGGTCTATTAAAACCAATAAATTTACAATTTCTTGTTGACTTACAGTTTCAATAGGGTAACCTAGTACCAGATGAAAACACTGTTTACTATTCCGTTGTGTTAAATAGCTGTTTAAAATAATTTCGGCTTATGATGTAAATCATCTCTCCAACTACAGTAGAGATTTTTCAATAGCACAGTTAGTTACGGGGTAAGAAGTGACCACATCATTTTCTTGCTATTCAAAGACCATGATTGTAAATATTGATAGCTACAATATATCTCTCGATAGTCTAAATAGACCTTGCTGCTTTTAGGTAACTACTGGCATCCGAAAGAAGTTGGTAATTGTTGGTGATGGAGCCTGTGGAAAAACATGTTTACTCATTGTTTTCAGCAAAGATCAATTCCCAGAAGTTTACGTCCCAACAGTATTTGAAAACTATGTGGCTGATATTGAGGTTGATAATAAGCAAATAGAACTAGCTTTGTGGGATACCGCTGGTCAAGAAGATTATAATCGCCTCCGCCCATTATCCTATCCAGACACCGATGTAATTTTGATGTGCTATTCTATTGACAGGTAAGATTATTAGGACGGTTTGATTTTATATTTCGATCACCAGAGTACAATATAACCTTGTATTAATCGAATTTATTTTGGTTCGTTATGGAAGTTATGTGTGGATGTGAACTAATTAAGTTTAGTAGTTCGGTGAAACCCAAAACAAGAAATCAAGTTATTTGTGCGTGAAATCTTCAAAAAGTATTATTTGGAATTCAGACAACTAATGAAAACAGTTAAACGTTCATAATAAAAAACTGTGAACATCTACTTCGTTAAATTATAGAAGTTTTGAACGGGGAATTTTCGATTTTGTGACGCGGGACAGGGATGGCCTCATCTTTCAATACTAAAGCAAATTCACTGAACGTTAAAAGATTGTTTGGAAATTTATGAATATGGTTTGGTATAACATTAAAGGATTCATCAATTCTAACACACTCAATTTGTAGTGAACAGAACATGGGTGGGGACAATCGAATGTATTTAACACAAAATTACAGGACTTGTTAATGAAATCTAACAATCATAAAGTAAATGCTTAATTTGCAAAATGCCCACCAATTGTCTCAAGATGACTCAGACTTGATTGTTCTTGTATTTTCATACAAATTACATTTTGTTTTCATTCTTTACTGTTCGATCCTCTTGTCTCTCTGCTTCCAGACCTTCCGTTCGCGACTAACATCATATACTACTTATGTCAATATAAGTGGCACACACCACAAATTTACTTACGGTTTCAAATTCATATTTATGTATAAATGTTTGTTTCACCTGAAATTTTACCATTACTATGATTGGGTTTGCAAAGTTAGGATTTGGTGATCTGTTTGAAAATATTTTTCATATTTCCGTATCTAGATTTAACCAAAACTCAAATAATAATAAATCTTATCATGTGTAGATACAATATGCCCGGAAGAGTAAGTCAACTTGATTATATTCACTTCTAGTTGCGCTGCTAGCAACAAAACCTGATGAATAAACCTAATTATTTATATATGCTAACGTTTGTATCCAATTAATGAATTAAATAGTGTCATTCTGTAGTGGTAGGAAGAAAAAATTACGACATGGGGTTGAAAACATGTTTATTTGACACTTTCATGCCATATACCTAAATCACAGCGTGAAACTGTTTTGCCGCACGATTTTTTTGCTAGTAAATTCTCAAGTTACTGATTGTTGGGTTCATTGAGTAAAATATCCAATTGGGTAAATGTGATAATAATCGGGGCTTAGTTACCTACCTTTATCCAGTCTCTTTACCTGATAACTTCAACAGTGCCATAAATGGTACGGAAAGTAAGTCTTCAGAAATAAACGTATTTATCTCTTGGTCAAAGAATAGAGAAAGTAATGCTTCAAAACCTATGTATTAGTAAATAATTAGCTAGTCAGCAGGAGATATCTCACTTTAAGCTACTTTTTGTGGTTGTAGTCACTTGGTTAGAGGATATAATAGCAGTGCACACTTATGTTACTTTTCACATTAGTTAGAAAAAATGTTTTTTTTGTTCATTCTTTTTGATCTTATAACTAGTCCTGACAGTTTATCTAATATCAAAGAGAAATGGATACCGGAAGTTAAACATTTTTGCCCAAACACACCAATTATATTGGTTGGAAACAAGAGTGATCTCAGATATGATGATAAAGTTATCAATGAACTTGCCCGTTTGGGTCAACATCCAGTTACATCTAGCGAAGCAAAGGCAGTGTCTGCTTATATTGGTAGGTTCAATATTATTTAGAAATCGTTTCAACGTTTATCCAAAGTTTTATTTAATTGATCAGTAGTCAATACAAGCCTAACTATTAGAAACTCCTTAATTCATGATCCACACAGTATAACTAAAAATGTAGATTGACTCATTTTAGTTACAAAAGCGCATCTTTATTTTATAAATGGTCCTGTATCTAAAGCGGATTAATTTATCACTTGGGTGTGTTGATAGAAATTTACTACTTCTATTATAAGCATAGATCTAATAGAGTTGTATGTTTTAAATTGCCGTGAAGTTTATCACCCGTAGAGTATACCTTGTTGACAATCACCAGGAGTCCTTAATAACTAAAAACAAACTAACTTAATGAGCTTCACTCAACAGAGATTTATATAGTTAAATCTTATGTAGTCATTTTAATCGGGTTTAAGTCGACAATCAGTCTGCTAAAGTTTCATTGTGCAAGAACATGCTTTTATCATGTTAATGAATATTAAAACCACAAAAAGCATTATAAACTGATTAATTTGTCAATACTTAGTGTACCTCCAGATAATTCGGACAATATGTTAAACTGAGCTGTATTAAAATATACAGTTATTTTAGCTCTGTACTCATGAGATGATTTATTTAATCAACCCATTTTTTCAGGTACTGATTTACATACTTAGTTTTGAATCACTTTCTACATGTTAGCGTTAATGAGATACTACCTGATTGCCCAAACCGTAGTTGGTCGAGTGGCTGATTTGAACTTGCGATTATATATATATTACTACGTTTGTTCTTATTTCATACTTTTCACTTTTCGAAATTACTTTTTTCTTTCTTTTTTTAGTTATCTCATCTGTTTTTTATTTTCCTATCATAAATTCGACTTTTGTTCTTTCACTCTTAGTAATTTCTCCATATTTTTACTGATATGTCAAGTGTGTTAACTGAAGAGTTCCTGTCTGTGGTGGGTGGAGGGAGATTAAGTCAATGATCACAAAAATAATCAGTGATAATTTTTGTGTTAATCAGTGTTTATGAAAATAAGGTGTACTAGGTATCTTATATGCTTAATCATCATTATTTTTAAAGATTGTAATTGATGCGTCTCAGCAAATAGATTCATTAACGTGATACTTTCGAATATGAAGGCTATTTACGCCAAAGTTCTATTAGTTAATAAAGCGTTACCATCTAATAGATGGTTTGTGATATTCAACACTTCCTTATCACTATCTGAACTGCTTCACTCTACGTCTATTTTATATACTGAAGCTAGAGCTAAAGTTTTCTTCTACCTCTTACTTTCCGCTTACGATGTTTACAGATTCCTTAGGAGAAAACCACACAATTAACTTAAAACCATGGAATTATCTGCAACGATAATAGGAAACCACAAGAATAGGTGGCTTTTTGCATATGTTCACAGAAATACCTATTGTTAATATCTACTTCACTCTATAGGTTCATCAGTGACTCAGTCATAGATAGCGTTTGGTCTCGCACAAATGTCCATCAATCTAATTTACCACATATCACATCATTATATCAAAAGAAGACAATAATATAATTAGAAGCAGATAAGTGATAACATTAAATATTCTTCGTACTCAAAAGCTGGAAGATGGTTGCGCAATTTTATGAATTTGTTAAACATGTATACTATTAGACGGTGGCTCAATAGTTTAAAGGTTGAGCAATTGACTGTGAAACCGAATGTTCTGGGTTCGATCCTTTGTGGCTTTATTTTGAGTAAACAATGTTGATAAGTTCCATACTGGGATGAAAAAGGTGTTCAGTGCTTCCTGATTCTCAAGGGTTATTTAACAAAGATCAGCTTGTGACGTCAATCATAAAATTAAAAATCCCTGTAAACCTTTTTAGTATTATTTGAGTAAATTAGAACAATGAGCAATACTACCAGTTTATTTGTATTTTCTATAATTTCTGGGTTGTTTTTGCTTCACTTAATTTGTTTTATGTATTCATTTTGACAAATTAGGCGCTTACGGAGAAATTGAATGTTCGGCAAAAACTAAAGAAAATGTACGTCAAGTATTTGAATTAGCCTCTAGAGCATGTTTAAAAATACAGAAAAAACATAGAAGTTATAAATTATTTTGAACTTTACTCTTCTTCATTTGTTTTCTATTTTCGATAGATAATTTAATAATATTATTTATCTAATATTAACTTATTTATTTCTTTCTAGTAAGTATTATTAAACTTTATTTCTTTCACTTTGAAACGATGGATAAATGACTGAACACAAGAAAAAGCTGTTGACTTCCTTTTCACATTCCTACTTTTCATCTCCAGTTGATCTTATTCCTCTGATACTGCTGCAACTAGTACCGTTCATTCTAGGGTGTTACTTCTTTTTGTAGTGTTGTTTTTTATGCGGTATTATTATTATTATGTGTACTTTATTTATTCTATTTAAAGAAAATTGATCTTTTTTTAATCAACAACTAATGTCAATATGGGTATGTATCTCTCTGTGTGTGAGTTCGCATTACCCATTTAATGATAATCATTTGTATATCTCATTCCAAAGCTTATTGTTCTTTAGAATGAACAATTATTTGTACAATGAATTATTTTTGATTGTTCATTGAATATGTATCCATTGTGCGCACGTGTGTGTTTAAGTGTTTATTTTAAATTCCTAAATAAAAAAGTGTCTTATATCGGATTTCTTAAAAAGTTATTTACTTTTTCTGCCGAAAATGACTATTTGTTTATGATTTGTAACTAAAATAAAATAAGTAAAGAGAGAAAGAGAGAGTGGTTCAAAGTATGAGAATTGAATTGGTTTTCTAATGATCTGGTACAGTTGATAAAGTGTTGAGTTATTTTGATGAAGTTTTGTTCTCTGTGCTGGATGGTCTAGTCGTAGAGCTTTCATCGTTCTTCTGAAAGACATCATCAGCACAAACTTCAGGTAGAAGTTGTGTTGAGTTATACTTATATAACTTTTGAATAAAGAAAACATTTCAGTAAATAGACACTTTTTATATTGATTCTGAAGAAGTCTTATTTAAACTTATTGATATTTCGTAATCATTAAACATTTGTAGTTCCGTATTATGAACTAACCGGTTAGAATGAGTGTATATTGATAAACTTTGTCAAGAACAATATCAGCATGATAATAGCTATCATTTTATGACGTAATTGTAATCGTTTATCTAATTCGATCACACGTTTCTGTGGTAACTTTAAATTTTCTGTCTTGAAACAGTGAAATTTTCGAGATATTAAAGCTTTACGTGATTAAACTTACTATAAAACGATTTATTCTTAATACTTATTTTCATGTCTTTTGTTTGGTGGTTATCATTAACTTGTAATTTATTTGTATTAAATAGTTTAATGTAAATTGTTAAAACTATTGAAGATATACACAATCTTTAGAAATTCTTGTTGATCATCCTTAAACATTATGAAGATTTTGTACATCTTTACACTAACACTTTGTAATCATCAAAACGATTACCTGTTACAATTCTTTAAAGCAATAATCCATGGTTTCTTCGTCATAATTTAGTATTATGACTAATAGAAATAATTCAGCACATTTATGTGATGGCTCAATTTTAAAGAACTAACCTTCTTTATACAACAATTTATTTGGTACATCAGATATTGTGTCTGAATATTATATAGATTACAAGTAAATACCATTCATAATTCATCACACTATCTTCTTAATTAAGTCACTTTTCCTAATCCTCAGTAAAGTTTAGTCAGCTAAGATAAGAGAGTAATTATTTATAAATAGAGTACACCAGGTAAAATTGCCATGATCGAGAGACGGTATGTTTGTATCCAGATTTAATCATCGCTTTTTACAAAAGTTTGTCGTTTAACTATTTTCATAAGCAAAAACAGCAGGTCATTCTCATCTTTACTCATGACTGTTACTCCTTAAACTTGAATTTATCATGATCCAAATATGTGTTTCTGATATGATCTATATTTATCTGTTGTTTAAATGAACATGGAAATATTTTCAAATAAAGATTACGTATAGCATTCAAAAGTGAGTTAATTTGAGTAGGCGTTAATTGCGAAATATCACTGACTAGGAACTCCTTTGTTTGAACATGCCCTTAATTTGTCATAAAAATTTGTTTTCATATGTGTTACCTTAGCGTAAAGCTTGAGAATGCATCATTAGTTCCGACCATTTGTACTGAGTCACTAAGTCTTAGCATTCTAGTTATTTCAGAATTCCTATTAGGTTCACTGATCTCTTCACAATACTTGTCATACATTTACTGATCAGCTGTGGATAATGAAAGATAATCTTAATGTTAAACATTTCTCACCAAAGTTTACTTAGTTAACACGGACGAGATATTCTTTTGATCTAAACAATGATCTATGGTAAATAATAGGTGTGAAATGAAGTTTAAAGAAAACTAGCTCACACAGTTAATTTTGAACAAAGAATAATTGAATAACTATTTAATAATAATAAAACGTTATTGATTAATAAGAACTAAATTAAATATTGGATATTGGCATGAAAATAAATTAACTTGTGTGGATATTTTGAGTCTCCTTGTTGATGTTGGGAACTACAGTTGATCACTTTCCTTTGGCATATATGCATCCAATGTGGATTGCCTCGGAATCGCCATTCAGTCAAAAGTATTTGACATGCAGTCAGTTGTATAAACTTGCACCACTGTTGATGCTCACACCAGGACTCGAACCTAGTACCTCTAACTCCAAACACCCAACTTAGCTACTAGTCCACATGGTCATTGGCTTGTGCAACAGCGTAAATTTCACTCCATTTCTATTGACTGGTTAAATAGTTCTGTTTAAATTCGTTACAATTAAGTGAACGTAAATTGTTAATAATAATTTAAAATGGATAGAAAAAAAGTAAGAGAAAAAACACTGCAGTAGGAACAACTAATAGATAAATTTGAAACCAACTTTCTGTGATTTCTAAACAGCATAGATCATACCGTAACTCAGTTTTAGTATGATAACAAGTTATTTTAGAAGTACACTGATTTCTAGTTTTATTTGCATTTCTGATGTTCATAAAAACGAAAGTCATATATCAAAGATGGATTGTGGCTAGCAGTGTGACAAATTTGTTATCAGCGTTACGATGATGTAAAGCATGAATATAGTTGTTAGTGAATTGCTGTAGGCAATTCATATTCAAATATTCTTTTGATTCGAGTTAAAATAAATAAGTCAGAAACTTCCATAAGTATTTGACTAGGGTTTATCACTGCTAATTTCTTTGGTTATATAAGTTATTTGTAGATAGACTCCAGGAAAATGAACCAGAGAATTTTGCAGTAAAAAATGTCTTTAGTAATCATGGATCCTTTCGTTTACTTCTTGGTCTCTTGTTACTTTCTAGTTAAAATCTGAATAAAGAATGACTCTCTGTCAATCATTGGATGTAAATTTACCTTACAGCATAACAGACCATTTTTATTTATTCAAAAAAGTAGATTTTTATACTTATGCGATCGCTTATGTTTGATAGTTTCCAGTTAAGAGCACTGATCCAAATCCAATCATTTCGATCAATCATATTAATACAACATAATAGCATTCCATTTATGACTTATGTTGTCAATTATATTCAATATTAAAAGTTCAGGTAATGTGCAAACTATACTCTTCTATAGATTGTTTTAATTATTTGTTAGTTTAGTTATATGAACTATTTGATTGGTTGATTGAATTACTGATCAATAAAAGTGATCAATATACTTGTGAATATAATGATTGATGAGTTCACCATTTAAAAATTGATTTCAGCTTTTATTTTAGTGATGAGATGTAGTTTTTATTTGTAAGTTCGTTATATAATAAGTAGTTCATTGTTTTTCATTCTTTCATTTTACTTTATTATTAAGGGCTGATAGATGAGGAAGAGTTCAATAAAAAAGAAAATGCGTGTAGAATACTCGCATTAACTACTGGATCATGTTTATTGAAAAGAAAAAAAGCCTCAAATAATTTTTTATCTTTAAAATATCTATGGTAAATTGTGTTGTCTTATGATTTGTTTATTTTACAAGTAATTTCCAAGAAGAAATACTACCGGCTGAAGTACTACCTAACTATTTCATCTTGGCTTAGCACTGTAAAACAGTATGCGCACAGAAGTTTACGAAAGCTCGACAAGTCTCATACTATGATGATACAGTTGTTCTTGAATCTCCGAGATTATATGGCTTTGCGAACAATATCGGACTGTAGTTAAAATGAGCCCTGCTTAGCATGCAAATACTAGTTAAAAATTTTTATTCAATTGTTACAATAAAATCTTAAGGCTTAATCAATAAATACAATGATCATTTTATTGAATGTTAGACAATTGAAGTCTATCACCAGGAAAAGTTGAATCTGAGCTATATGGAGCCTTTATCACTTAAAACTTCAGCCAACAGTACTACCACTTTTGTGTTCTTTTTCAGTTACAGCTGGCCAAACAAAGAAAATTATGATCTCTATAGATTTTTTGATGATAAATAATGAGGTTGAAATTAATATCCGCAAGAAAAACACATTGAGTGTACAATTTAATATCGAAAGTTTCAATCAATCGGATCATCTAATAAAGTATTAGAGGGGTTTTGCGGAGCAATATGCTCTCATGACCTAACCACTGGAAACCGGAGCCAGGATCTACAGTCTTGCGTGTGGTATTGTGATAGGATAAAGTTTTGTTGCTGAACTGTGTAATAATAATATATTCCCTACCTCAATTCATGTAGCTAAATCCAAAACGTTGGGCCTATTTTTCAGACGTATGATATGCTGGAGCAGTCTGACATATTAATTTAATACCTAGTGATAAGTCAGAAACTGGTAAACTCACTCTCTTGGTCATTATTCGACTCTACTTTCTGAGGAAACATATAAACTCCATAGGTTGAAAATTCGAATCAATTTTTCGACGGAGGCAGGTATATTGGAACTTATGTGAAATCTTACTCCATCCACTTGAAGTATTGATTGTCGAGATCTTTATCATACGCTTTTGTTACTGATGGTTATTGCCAATTTTTTTTATTAGATGTAAGTTCATTCTATATGCTTACTGAGCCATCACCCCACTTTTCCTTTTGTTATTCTCTCTCCCAGACATTTTCTTAAGCAGTGCTTTTCACACTCCTTGCCACACGAAGTACTCTTTAGCTATACTCAAATCCACCAAAGGCTAGAAGTTAGGATGTATTTATGAATGAGCTTTTGTATATATTTTGATTCAAGTTTGTTAATAAAAGCCTTCCACACGCTCTGCGTTATCTCGCTGAAGTAGCTGATTGATCTTTCGAACAGGAATCTTGTATATCTATAGCAGAATAAGATGAGTATCCAGAACAACAAATTTTCTGTTGACGAACTTTCGACTCAACACAAAAATCAATTCATAATCTAGACATCATTAACGGAGCTCTAATCAATTTTCCAGTGACGGAAGAAGTAAGTTGAGGCATCTCAGTAGATAGCGAAGAAAAGGTTGACAAAGGTTTTTTTAGTGGCGCCGATTTCAACTCATTTGTCGTATCTTGAGCTTTTGCCATGCGAATTAACAATCAATTAAATTTTCCGGTCCCATATGAACCCGAAACCAGCATCGATGGAAGTTTGAATGTCACTCAAGACATTAATAACCATGATCACAAAATTATCCAATGCTCA